TCACCGTACGTGAAATTTTTCTCTACCAAGTGCATTCCTGCCTGGCTAAATAAAGTCTCTAGAGCAGGAAAAACCGTAGGACAAACAATGCTGAATTGTTTCTCTTGCGCGAAGCTAAACGCAAATAAGAGGAGAAGTTGGATGACGCTAGGTTCTGTGTTTCTGTAATCCTTGGCTACTGCCCCACGCTGGACTTCTATCATTTGACACCCTTCTTTTCCTTGGAAAAGCCTCTTCATGGAAGGTAAACTGCTCGAGGGGTACAATTCAAGATCGAGCTTTCCAAGGGTGTTGTTTCGTTGAACGGCTCGTGCTACCCCAATTAGTTTGTCTTCTTTGTAAGCACCGAACCAAATAGACGTCTTATCGAACGCGTCACAGAGAATCGGTTGGCTTCGTTTGTCTTTGTCGATGTGAAAACCAGTCGGGCTATCGTCACGAAAGACCCAGCCCAACTCGTGAATGTAGACATCGTATAAAAGGCGTTTCGCTGAATTCACAGCTTCATAGTCGTTCAAAATCTTGACGCGAAAATCCATCTTTGACTCTGAACAAGTTGTATTACTTCTAGTATTTAAATCACAGTCGAGATATCAGTTATACTATGTTTTGGTTCTTAATATATATCAGAAAGCCAAGACAATACCGGTTTAACCGGATTCCAGTTTGCTTAAGTACCGCGAACTGTGAACATTCCCGCCAAAGTTTGACATGAGGCACGACGCACGTGCATCCGTGAATTGCTCATTGGTCATGTTCTCGGTGTATTCCATATTTGGGTGTAAGATCACGAGCTTCTTTGCTGAACCTTGTAAGCTATAGATGTCTTGTGACCAACTCCTTGGCAACCGGCAGCATTCCCGCCAGAATGTTCGAGGATGCGATCCTCAAAACGTCAAGGGAGGCTTTTAAGGCATTCAAAATGTGCAAGTTACAGTATGCTTTCGAACAGAAGAGCTCAATAAAGTGTATGGCGGAGTCGAAGTAGTACATTCAGTGAAAAGACTTTTCTTCTTGTATTGTAGTGAAAACAGTTGTTCAAATATTGTACTCCTTAATTATGCTAAACCTGCCTCATGTTCTGATCATTTTAGTTTTGTTTTGAGCTGAAGGCATTTTTAAACTCACGAGTCGGTTAGAACCAATTCAACAACTATTCTTTTCGACTATTCAGACCCTGTAAATCAAGGCGCGATCCCGCGCTTTTACACCTGTCACGTGTTCTGATTTATTTCAAGCTTTGATTGCTTGTCACTAGCATTTTTAAAGATGTATTTTATGTGCCACCCATTTAGGTCTGAAAGGACTAAGATACTAACGATGCGTTCTAATTATTGTTTAGTACACCGTTTAGCTCTAAAAAAAACACTGATGAGCTAGCTGGTTTTCACGTCAAGTTATTTCAGTTGTTAAAATAATAAACCGACCTTTTTTTGGTTTCGTCGACACCTCAGGCTCGTTAGTTTTCATTGCGTGCTCGCTTAAAATCTTGCGTTGATTTATTTAGTTAAACCAAAAAACTAATCGGTATATAGCTTAAACAATTATTAGGACTTAGCATTTGTAGTGTTTTTATTGTTCAAGATGGTTCTCGCTACAGCGGTTTTGTATAAGACTTTTAAATTATATTAAAAATTAATTTTTAAAATAGGAACTCGCTCAGTTTTAGGCTATTTCTAAAAATCAGGACGGCATTTTTAAAATTTTATAATATCCATTAACCTGCTAAAAATCAGAACGGCATTATTACAATGTTATAATATCAATTTACCTGCTAAATTATTTTTTGTTATGATAATCATTTTTTCAGTCTTGGGTGTACTAGACGAACTCGTGACCTCTATCTTAGCAACGTCGAGCCCCTTATAAGAATGTCTGAATAAAATAGAAGATCGACATGTATGGTTCTGATGTTGGTCCTTTGAGGGATATAACAACAATCCTTGTTCTATTGCTGAGTTGTCTGAACGTTTTCTCACTCAATAAAGAGTACAACTAAAAACTGAAAATTTCTTTTGTAGCGGTGAATCCTAGATGAATCCTAGATATCACAAGAATAGTTACTGAGTGAGTTCTATTTCTAGTATGTTTTATTTGTTTGTAAAACAAGCACATAATTTGCTTTGTATTATATTTTGAAAAATTCAAATGGCATGTGAATCGAGGGGCTTTTTCAAAACACAGAAAATTTAACACGAATGAGTGATAAGGGAATTAAGGTACTACCCGGTAGCTGTCATTTTTATAGCCAGTACAGTGTAAGATGACCACAGCCTAGCAAGCATTAACTCAGAAAAGTGCTGCTAATAAGAAGCTTCAATTTCAGTGATCACACTTTAGATTTTTTTATTTCACCAAACTCAAAAGTAAGAATCATGTCAGTGTGCAGCATAATAAACAGTACCACAGGAACGTACTGTACAGTAGCTTTCGTTTGAATGGTCACACTTTAGAATTTCATCCACAGACTCAAAAGTTAGAACCACCTTGTACAGCATAACAAACAGTACCATAGGAAAGTACTGCTCAGTAGCTTTCATTTGAATGGTCACACTTTAGGATTTCATCCACAGACTCAAAAGTTAGAACAACCTTGTACAGCATAACAAACAGTACCACAGGAAAGTACTGCTCAGTAGCTTTCATTTGAATGTTCACACTTTAGGATTTCATCCACAGACTCAAAAGTTAGAACTACCATGTACAGCATAACAAACAGTTCCATAGGAAAGTACTGCTCAGTAGCTTTCATTTGAATGGTCACACTTTAGGATTTCATCCACAGACTCAAAAGTTAGAACAACCTTGTACAGCATAATAAACAGTACCACAAGAAAGTACTGCTCAGCAGCTTTCATTTGAGTGGTTTCACCTTAGAATTCCATCCACAGCCACTCAATGGTTTGGACCACCTTATTTTAAAAGCTGTGATCGTGTGGGGCTCAAGTGACGAATTTAATTCGGGGTCAAACTTTTATTGTCCAAACCGTCGAAAAGCGACAGAGTCAAGATGGGTGTTTAAGATGATAAAGAAAATGATTGACATTGTAACTACTGCGAAATCAGTAAGAACCTAATCTGTTTAATGCGTTAATCAGTTGCGCGCGAGCGAGGTAAGCTTTCACGCGCGCGCCTCGAGTTCTTCTTCACCCTTTTAGCGTGTCGCCTTTTCTCGCGTGGGGTGATTTTCACGCGTGCTCGCGTTTCGCTCGCTCTACATATCCCTGAAGAGAAATGGAGACTACTCTTAGTCTATCACCCTTTTGACACTTAAGATATTTCCATTTCTGGTTCAGCGTGAATTAGAACCTCTTGTACGCGCACACAAGTAAAGTAAGAGAGGTCAGAAAAAGTTTCCCTAATTTTACCTACTATCTAAAATGTTTCTTCGTGAATATTAATCGCGCGCAAGGCGTTTTATGCCTTTTGGGAAGATCAAAGATAGAAATGGACTTTTCAATCCTTGTTTTTCTAGCCTTCTAAAACGTGAGGGAGAAATTCTGATCGTCTCTTTCAGTTGCGGGAACTTTCAGCACGATCTCTTTTCACTTGCAAGGGACGTAAGTTTTCCCTACTAGTTTGTAAAAGGGGTTAAAAACATTTGCGGAAACAACATTTGTACCAATTTGACATCATGATGAACAATATCACATTTTATTCCTTGATTTTTTTAACATACAATATATTTATTCATGTCCTTTTTCTAAGTTGAATAGTAAAAAGTTATTGCCTAAATTGAAAATCATAAAGAGAGAGTGAGCTCATTCTCTCTTGGAGTCAATTACAGTCAAACCAAGTCAAGCGTACCCCACAAGATTCTATCAGTGAATTGATTATTTGAAAAATGAATCCGTTAGTCGTTCCCGTAACTGGTGTCAAATTCAAAGCGGCATTTCTGCATGGAGAGGGTTTCAGAGTTTAAACTACTGGGTGTATATGTACAGAACGATCTCAAGTGGAATACACATGTCTCAAGTATTGTCAGCAAAGCGTGTAAACGGATCCACTATCTTAGGGTCTGTAGAACAGCCCATCTCCCCAGGGACGTTGGTCTTACAACTTACATCACTAAGATTAGACCTGTTTTAGAATATGCCTCGCCTGTCTGGGGAGGGCTGCCCATTTACCTCGAAGAAGATCTACAGAGAGTGCAGAATAGATGTCTAAATGTCATTGGTCTCCCTAGGGATACTGCTGAGTCACTTGTAACTAGGCGTCAGAATTTGACGAGGAAAGAATTTAAACGTATCCTAGAATCTGAAGCACATCCTTGTAAACGTTTTTTTAGAAAAGCCAGTGGATCATGGCCATAATCTAAGATCTTGTAAGACTAACCCAGCGCACCTCAGAATACCTGTATCACGCACTGTTAGGCACAAACAATCATTTATTCCTAGAGGTGCTAATCTTAACTTAATTTGATATGTATATATAATATGTAGTGTTTTGAATTTTTATTGTAATATTACCGTAATTCTTATCGCCAAAGGTAATAAATAAAGTTTATTATTATGCATAATGAGCAGTGAATATTTTACGAGAACTTCTCTGTATTTGGTCAGATTGGAAATCTTTGACTGGATTAAGCTTCTTAGAAGACATTTACATCAATTTCAGGAAAATGGAGCTGGTAGAAATTTCATAACTGCCTCGCGTGTGAATTCACGGCTCATTACACATACAAGAATGCAGAGATCAATCTGAAATCTACAACTAGCAACGGATTCAACTTTTGAATAATAAATTCATGAATAGATTCTTGGGGGGTACGCTTGACCTGGTTTGACTGTAACCGAAAATGTTCTCTTAAATTTGTCGCACCTACTTTCTTAAGCTCTTTTTAACTCGTAAGGCTTCTTCACAACTACAAAGTTATTGAATTCCCTTTTCAAAATATAATTCAACTGAATCCATCTCAAATCCCCTCAGTCAAAAGGGGGCCTAGAACTAGTCATGATTCTAATCCTAGAGACACATTAAACCCTGAATACCGGCTACATTTATACAACATTAAATTTGCTTCGCTTGGCTTGGTGACCTCTCTCTTGAAGGAAATTTGCATTTCTCTTGCTTGTTACCCTTTTTAGTCTCTTCAAAACTTGCACCAGCTCATCTGAAGAACAAAAAAAAATGAAGGTTGGCCACTCCTCTTCGCCTTCGCCGTACGTGAAATTTTTCTCTACCAAGTGCATTCCCGCCCGGCTAAATAAAGTCTCTAGAGCAGGAAAAACCGTAGGACAAACAATGCTGAATTGTTTCTCTTGCGCGAAGCTGAACGCAAATAAGAGGAGAAGTTGAATGACGCTAGGTTCTGTGTTTCTGTAATCCTTGGCTACTGCCCCACGCTGGACTTCTATCATTTGACACCCTTCTTTTCCTTGGAAAAGCCTCTTCATGGAAGGTAAACTGCTCGAGGGGTACAATTCAAGATCGAGCTTTCCAAGGGTGTTGTTTCGTTGAACGGCTCGTGCTACCCCAATTAGTTTGTCTTCTTTGTAAGCACCGAACCAAATAGACGTCTTATCGAACGCGTCACAGAGAATCGGTTGGCTTCGTTTGTCTTTGTCGATGTGAAAACCAGTCGGGCTATCGTCACGAAAGACCCAGCCCAACTCGTGAATGTAGACATCGTATAAAAGGCGTTTCGCTGAATTCACAGCTTCATAGTCGTTCAAAATCTTGACGCGAAAATCCATCTTTGACTCTGAACAAGTTGTATTACTTCTAGTATTTAAATCACAGTCGAGATATCAGTTATACTATGTTTTGGTTCTTAATATATATCAGAAAGCCAAGACAATACCGGTTTAACCGGATTCCAGTTTGCTTAAGTACCGCGAACTGTGAACATTCCCGCCAAAGTTTGACATGAGGCACGACGCACGTGCATCCGTGAATTGCTCATTGGTCATGTTCTCGGTGTATTCCATATTTGGGTGTAAGATCACGAGCTTCTTTGCTGAACCTTGTAAGCTATAGATGTCTTGTGACCAACTCCTTGGCAACCGGCAGCATTCCCGCCAGAATGTTCGAGGATGCGATCCTCAAAACGTCAAGGGAGGCTTTTAAGGCATTCAAAATGCGCAAGTTACAGTATGCTTTCGAACAGAAGAGCTCAATAAAGTGTATGGCGGAGTCGAAGTAGTACATTCAGTGAAAAGACTTTTCTTCTTGTATTGTAGTGAAAACAGTTGTTCAAATATTGTACTCCTTAATTATGCTAAACCTGCCTCATGTTCTGATCATTTTAGTTTTGTTTTGAGCTGAAGGCATTTTTAAACTCACGAGTCGGTTAGAACCAATTCAACAACTATTCTTTTCGACTATTCAGACCCTGTAAATCAAGGCGCGATCCCGCGCTTTTACACCTGTCACGTGTTCTGATTTATTTCAAGCTTTGATTGCTTGTCACTAGCATTTTTAAAGATGTATTTTATGTGCCACCCATTTAGGTCTGAAAGGACTAAGATATTAACGATGCGTTCTAATTATTGTTTAGTACACCGTTTAGCTCTAAAAAAAACACTGATGAGCTAGCTGGTTTTCACGTCAAGTTATTTCAGTTGTTAAAATAATAAACCGACCTTTTTTTGGTTTCGTCGACACCTTAGGCTCGTTAGTTTTCATTGCGTGCTCGCTTAAAATCTTGCGTTGATTTATTTAGTTAAACCAAAAAACTAATCGGTATATAGCTTAAACAATTATTAGGACTTAGCATTTGTAGTGTTTTTATTGTTCAAGATGGTTCTCGCTACAGCGGTTTTGTATAAGACTTTTAAATTATATTAAAAATTAATTTTTAAAATAGGAACTCGCTCAGTTTTAGGCTATTTCTAAAAATCAGGACGGCATTTTTAAAATTTTATAATATCCATTAACCTGCTAAAAATCAGAACGGCATTATTAAAATGTTATAATATCAATTTACCTGCTAAATTATTTTTTGTTATGATAATCATTTTTTCAGTCTTGGGTGTACTAGACGAACTCTTGACCTCTATCTTAGCAACGTCGAGCCCCTTATAAGAATGTCTGAATAAAATAGAAGATCGACATGTATGGTTCTGATATTGGTCCTTTGAGGGATATAACAACAATCCTTGTTCTGTTGCTGAGTCAGGGCTCGAAATTAACGCTCGCAAACTCGCAAAATGCGAGTGATTTTGATAATCTGCGAGTAAGAAAAATATCCACTAGCAAACGATTGCTAGTTAGAATTATCAATGTCTCCCAAACAAAGGGAAATAATTTGCTTGTGGTCTCACCAGTTTGCTAGCAAAACTTTGCAAGTGCACTAAAAAGATAACTTCGAGCCCTGTGAGTTATCTGAACTTTTTCGAATGGTATGTGAATCGAGGGGCCTTTTTCAAAATGCAGAAAATTTAACACGAATGAGTGATAAAGGAATTAAGGTACTACTAGGTAGCTGACATTTTTATAACCAGTACAGTGTAAGATGACCACAGCCTAGCAAGCATTACCTCAGAAAAGTGCTGCTAATAAGAAGCTTCAATTTCAGTGATCACACTTTAGATTTTTTTATTTCACCAAACTCAAAAGTAAGAATCATGTCAGTGTGCAGCATAATAAACAGTACCACAGGAACGTATTGCACAGTAGCTTTCGTATGAATGGTCACACTTTAGAATTTCATCCACAGACTTAAAAGTTAGAACCACCTTGTACAGCGTAATAAACAGTACTACAGGTGAGTACTGCTCAGTAGCTTTCATTTGAATGGTCACACTTCAGAATTTCATCCACAGACTCAAAAGTGAGAGCCACCTTAAACAGCATAAAAACAGCACAACAGGAAAGTACTGATAATTCCTTTTTCATTTGAATGGACACACTTAAAAATTCTTACGGATTCAAAAGTTAGGTTAAAGTTAGAACCACCTTGTACAGGGTAATAAATAGTACCACAAGAAAGTACTGCTTAGCAGCTTTCATTTGAATGGTCACACTTTAGGATTTCATCCACAGACTCAAAAGCTAGAACCACCTTACACAGCATAATAAACAGTACCACAGGAAAGTACTACTCAGTGGCTTTCATTTGAGTGGTCTCACTTTAGGATTTCATCCACAGACTCAAAAGTTAGAACCACCTTGTACAGCACAATAAACAGTACCACAGGAAAGAACTGCTCAGTAGCTTTCATTTGAGTGGTCTCACTTAAGGATTTCATCCACAGACTCAAAAGTTAGAACCACCTTGTACAGCACAATAAACAGTACCACAGGAAAGTACTGCTCAGTAGCTTTCATTTGAGTGGTCTCACTTAAGGATTTCATCCACAGACTCAAAAGTTAGAACCACCTTGTACAGCACAATAAACAGTACAACAGGAAAGTACTGCTCAGCCGCTTTCATTTGAGTGGTTACACCTTAGAATTCCATCCACAACCACTCAATGGTTAGGACCACCTTATACATCATAATAAACGAAGAAAACAATCTGAAACAAAAACCACAGAAACAAACTGCTGCCCAGCTTTCATTTGAATAGTCACACTTCAGGATTTTATCCACGGATTCAAAAGTTAGAGCCACCTTGTACAGCAAACAAAAACGAGGGAGACTTCTGCCTCGGTCGACTCTTTTGCTTTCGCTTGGAAATGTTCTAAACATTTACTTTCATTTATTGAGTATTTTACTGCAAAGCTTTTTGCTTTCAATTGAAATAATAAACAGCAGCATCTTTGGATATCGCTTTCTCTTTTTAATTAGAAAATGAATTGCAGTGTAGGATCTTCGGTTGAGTTAAAAACATGTATACTATTCGAGCTATACGCGAAGACACAATGCACACAAATACTTTTGTTTACTTCTTTCCTTCATAATATAAATTTACGCTTGTGAGTATTTCCGCTGATAGGAAACCGAACTGTGACCGGAAATGCACCTGTTAAGTTTGTTAAAAAGACGTAGAGTACAAAGCGCATGCTCCACATTGTTTTTGTCTTGTTTTTCCGGGATTTTTTGGAACGCCATTCGTTCACCACGCGCGGAAATACCGTTGCTGCAAAGGAAGCCGGCTTCACGGTTAGTGGCGTACCAACCGACAAAATGCATCAAAAAGTTACAACAACAGGGTATCCGCGTTTTTGTTGTTAATACAAAGAAGCCCGAGATAGATTGGTGCGGAATTAAGATTAGGATATGTTAGATTCTTGAATATATTATTTTATTGTGGCGTGGCTTTGGTCAGTCATGTAGTAAATAATCATTATTTGAGAAGTGGGGGGGGCGGGGGGAGCTTATTTCATTTAGAAACGATGATGGTATTAGTTCTCCATATAGAACTAGAATACAAAGTGGGAAAGCTTAAGTACAAGACGTTGAGGGTCATGCAGCCAGGATCAAAAACAAATCCAGTTGTTCAAGAAACCATCCTGGATCGGTCCACACGAAGTTTTACAGTCGAGATTGATTAATACAGTCCGGTATTTATTAGTGAAGAATAATAAGGGGGAGGGGAGGGGGGCTTAAAAGAGACGGGGGGGACTTATTAACTTTTTTATGGTAATTTTGTCAATAGCTTTCAAGTTGATCCCCGCGTGCTTTTTCCGCGTCGATCGTCAAAAGTTTACAAACATTTACCTCTTTTTCTGTAAATTGTTCGTCCAATGCATTTTTCCTAATGGTTTTAATTGGGAATAAAGTACCGTATTTATTCGAATAAGCGCCCAACCTCGAGTTAGCGCCCACCTCGAATAAGCGCCCATCCTAAAGGCAGAAAAAGTTAATAAGCGCCCAGCCTCGAATAAGCGCCCACCAGGAGCCCATCAGGAGGGAGCCATCATCAGGAGCTCCTGCGCCCACCCCTTCCTCCTCCCAATCAAACTCAAATAAGCGCTCACGCCCTCCACCCACTTGAGTGAATAAATTCTAATAAGAGACTTCCCCGGGGACAGAGTTAAAAAGTAAGTTACAAGGTCAACCAATAGTCGAAAGTTATGCACTTGTCATTTGCCTTCCCTGGGCGGGAAATTGGAGACTTCATGGGAACTTGCTCTTAAAAGAATGCAACCGTTAGGATGGGGAGGTATAGGGGATTATATTTACCACGGTCCAACACGTGGGGAAAAAGTGGAGTTTTAGTTCATGGCCGTTCCTGCTAAAGCGAGGAGAGAATGTGTATTGCATTTGTAGACGCTTAGAAGGTTAAAGGGTAGATTTATTCAAGTAATTAAAGAGATAGTCGAGTTCTCTTTTGTGCCGAATGTGTAGAGTCATCAGCGGAACATTAAATATAGCAAATTGAAGAGCCGGGCTTAATTCGCTGATAATCAGATGTACTTATTTCATTGGAACAGATTTAGACGCGACTGCAGGGAATTGTTTCTGGTTTTTCAAGTAATAGTGTAACTCTCCAAGTGTTGGTCCGGTTTGCGATGAAACACGTTCTGTCTGCAAGCAACACTGAAATTTTCTTTGGTTACCGTTTGCGGACGAAACTTGCGCAAAATTGAAATTGAAATTTTTTCCAGAACTGTCAGATTCAAGTCTTGTTGGGTATTTAGCTGTCCTCAATATTTCGGGGAACCTTGTGGAAACTTTGCCAGAAAGAAATCACCCAGAGGTGAGGAAATACCAGTGACTTAGTCGTAAGATGTATATAGCACTTTTCGCGTGCGAACAAACTTTGGGGGATGGGGGGGGGGGGGGGGGAATGGGATAATAAAAAAAAAGGGTTTTTTTGGGTACCCCCGCTTCCCTGCGTGTTTTTTTATTAAAATTTAATTCTTTATAAATGTCTTGTATATAAATTTTCTTTTATTTTATAATTTTATTTAACCAAAATTGGTTATTTTTTGAAATATTTGATTGTTACTGTTTGTGCATCTGGTATTTTTTTCTTGTTTGTAGGTTTTTGCTGAACTCTATAGTTTGGAGGAGAATTGGTGAAAATAAAAGAAAAAAAAAATAACCGGGGTGGGGAAAAAAGAGTTTTTTTTTTGTTAGGGGGGGGGTGGGTTGTTGGTGGGGGGAAAGAGGGTGGGGGGGGGGGGGGGGGGGGGGGGGGGAGGGAATAGGATAAGTAGAAAAAAGGGTTTTTTTAGCTACCCCCGCTTACCTGCGTAGTTATTTATATCAAATTGAATCTTGAGATAAGTCTGAAGTATAAAGTTTCACTTAGTTAATAACGTTACTTAACCGAAAGTTGGTTGATTTGTAATATCACGTTTTAATGTTCCGAGGTCTAAAATGCCGCGAGGCCTTCGTTATTAGAAACGTCATAGAACAACAGGTTAAGATACATTGCGTTTAAATAAATGATGTATGAGCAGACATTAAAGGTCAAGTGAAGTTGGTTGATTTGTAATATCACGTTTTTAATGTTCCGAGGTCTAAAATGCCGCCAGGCCTTCATTATTAGAAACGTCATAGAACAACAGGTTAAGATACATTGCGTTGAAATGAATGATATATGAGCAAACATTAAAGGTCAAGTGAGGACACGGTTACTGGAATCAACTCTGTGTAAATTATTCTGACTGAGCTATAGGTTATAGCTGTTATAGTTACAGACTTGACTGGATAACGGCGAACTCATGCTGAGCGCGCCATGGGACAATTTGCAAGATGTCTTTTTGATTGAGCACTAGGTAATTCATTAAGCTCTAATGAGACAAATTCACGGGACGATTAAGGGCGATGAGTCCGTTTAGCACATTTCCGGCTTCAGTTCAAGCTCCGTTGATTCTGCACAGACATTTTAAATAGCCCAAACTGTTATGCAGCGAGGCTCGCAAGGGGACACATCCACGCTTATTGTTATGATCTAAGTAAATTTGTTTGTTTTAAACTGGACCCATATTCTGGGCACATTTGATGGACGGCTGACTGGAATCACAAAAGGCCGGCTGGGTTTGTTCTTGCGCGGCTTGTATGATGTTTTCCCTTCATCGGCGCCGAGTAGTCTTTTGGTTGAATGCGTTCGAGGATATCAATCATTGTTTGAAAAAAACAGCATACCAGAACAAAACGATCAAGTGGCTTTTGTTTAACACTCATCGAACGCGTGGCTCATTTTATATGACGGGTTTCGAAATTTGCTCAATACACACTTTAGAGAAAACAAGCTACAAAGACTAACTATAAGCTACAAGTTCAGCATAGCGCTGATTTTTGTTCGAAGAAACTGAGTTATTTTCCTACCTTTATTTTTATGCTGAACCGAAGGGCTACAATGTCTTCTCTAGCTCTTCGCAGCACAGCTTTTCCACTCCAGAACTTGACTATCCTGAGGCGGAATTTAAAATCTTGCCTCAATACTTAACCCTTTGAACAGCTATTTTCTGTATATTGCCTTCTTACTAATTGTGATTCGTTAGCTTAATTAAAGCACTGAAGTTTTAAAGGTCTATTTAAAGTAGTGCGATTGATTTTAACAGTCAGATTACATATTAACCCAAAATCGATTTCCACTCCTTTGCCCAGCATTTTTTTTTTTTTGCACCATAAACCGTAGAGCTGATTGCGGTAAAAAAGAAAAGAATTACGTGCGTTGCAATCTCATAACTTTTCGCACGTTATTAGCGAGTATTCATAGCATTTCCATACAAGTGAAACATACCGGGTCGGACTGGCAAAATACCGCCACACTTTTTTGGAGTCAGATAGGAAGCACCGTCTTGTCTCGAACGGCACGTGCCTTACGCGGATCATGAATGCAATATAACATGACTGGTGCCCTTAGAGATTCGTTCGGTTGTGAATTAAACCAATAGCGGTCAGTTTAATTTTATCAATAGACCTCTTAAGGTCTAAAACAGGGCGTCACTTGTATAAATTACGAAAAAAGTGTCGATCAGTTTCTGTTAACTCGTATTATAAACTGTTCCACATTGGGCTCGCTGAGCTGTTGTATTGACGGTCGGCGAACCGAAAAATACAGATTTATGAATCAGGCGCTCAACCCTTAACGCGGCTTTCTTGTATAACTTCCTGATTTATGCCTGCATTCAGTTATTTCTAATCTCAGCACCTGGAAAACAATCGCTGTTGCTTTTTATAGTTTCACACGCGTTTATACTTCTGGCGCTTTTCTGGTTTCCGTTCTGAGGTTTCTGCGCTTCCTTTCGTTGCTACTTAGGGCTTGTCTACTCCCTTGGTCACAAGTTATTTCTCATAGTACCAAGCCAACTAAGCCGGTATACGGGTATGCCACGACAAAATTTTTCCTCGGCAACTGCTGAAGTACGATAACACGAGAAATAAGCCATCACTAAAAGCCTAGATGTTTTTGATATGAATATTTCGATCCGTAGTTTAAATTATGATGTGTTAAAATCATCACCAGGTTTTTGTGTAACCAGCGTCTCTAATGCAAACACCTCCAGGCTAATGCTAGTACAACATCGTGAACCAAAGAAAAATATCTTGATATCAAAAGATAAGCCAGTGTTTTATGATACATTTTATTAAACCCCTAAGATTCTGTTTTTGTTTCCACGCCTTAATAATATACCTGAAAAGAGATGAAAGAAAATTTTTAATTAAATTTATCACCCGCGTGTCTCTGCTCACTGCGCTCTCTCGCACGCGCCGTTTTTTAGGCGCCAGCAGTTTACCAAGGATGCATGCGATGACGTAGCCTGTTTGTTAACTAGCCAATCACGACCCGAGCCTGCCTGTCTAATTATAGCTCTGAGTTATGACCAATGTTAGAGAGTACTGCCCTCGTCAAAGTGGTGCCTCAGTCATTCAGAGTTAGTCATTAATAGCTTGAGGTATCTTCAGCAGTTTGCATTAGCTCTCTCTGCAGTATGGACTGCTTTTATCAAGCTAGTAGAATGCGTCAGCCGGCTTTCTTCAATCCCCAGACTCTTATGTACGGGTACGGCGTCCCGACATACTATTCTCCACAGTTCTTCCCTGTGAGCTGCAACTCTGAAATCTCTAGGCCACCAGTAATGTCCAGAAGTCAGTCTTTTTTGGAGGAGATCCTTCCTCACCCAGCGACAATTTCTGAAAACAACGCAAGTCCTTCATCAACAAGTTCACAAACTCCACCACGGTCGCCTCCGAGCGAATGCAGTACTGAAAGGCACGGAACTAGCTGCAGTGACCCGACCGAGGAGCTCAGCCGATCTGGGAAAGATGCCAGTGAGTCAGAAGAAAAAACAGGTACGAATAGTGAGATAAATTTGGCTAAAATGCAGTTCTTTAGGCTTTCAAACACGTGTGCGTTGAACAACTTAAAAAAATGATTCCAGTTACTATTTGAACAAATTTAAAACTATGTTTGAGGTGCAATCAATCCAATTACTTACGGGTCAGTTAGGATAAAGAGAATAATTAATCCATTTGAGTTACTTAAAAAAAAACGTCTTTCCTTATATTGTGTATCGATTATTTATATTAGTAATTTGGTAAACCCTTGAAAAGCTCTCAGACTTGTGTTGAAGTGTACTTTGGTCTAACCTAATACTTTTGCGGGAACTTTAACTAATGGAATTCAACTTGTTTAAATATTTAGATGGCGAAGAAGACAAAGATGTCCCGTGGCATTACAAACAACCATTCAAGCATCGGAGGCGTGTGGCATACTCTCGCAATCAAATTCTGGAACTAGAGAAAGAGTTTCACTTCACCAGATATTTAACTAAGGAAAGACGCTCGGAGCTGTCCGCTTTGCTCCAACTCTCCGAGCGACAAATTAAAATTTGGTTTCAGAACCGACGCATGAAGTGGAAAAAAGACAACAAGCCAGTCATACCTACAAGCAGAGGAATGCGCCGAGGTTGTACGAGATAGGAAACAAACATTTAAATTTTCGCAAGATTACTAATTACAAATTGCCCGTAAATCCTTTTATGACAGACTTGAAGGTGTATAAAAACTGACTATTGGCACTTGTCAGGCGTAGTGAGTGTTAGCTGGCAAGCCCGCCATGCATGGATGATATCCATATTGTAACAGAACGCGTTTGTATTTCATTTACTCCGCTACACTTACTGAGGCAGGATTTTAAAACTGTAATTACTGTTTCAAAGTTCCCAGGAATAGTGAAAGTGGAATGAAATACATTTCTTACATTGTAAATAAAACAGGACGAGTTTTTTCTACTCGATGAGATGTCTGCGGGTTACGAATGAGGTGTTAAACCGATCCGTTCAAATAGAGACATATAGACTCTTCTAAGCCACAGTTACTTTGCTTTGTTTTTCACCATGCTTTCTATCCTGTTCCTTTGCCAGAGCTCTTGATATAAAATATTTATTTTTCTCAGGGTACACACATTCAACATCACAACAAAAGTTCCGCACTGATAGTCTATCTGATCATGTAAACGTTCTGTATTGTTTCTCGAGAAAAGTTATGTAGACGAAATATAATGTATTCAATGCAGTTTTAAAACGATTTCTGTAATAGCACTAGAAAACACTCTTTATCTAAACCCTCATAATTTCAAGTGCTTTATAGAAAAGGTTTCTCTAAAACTTCCGCAAATATATCCATTTTACAAAAGCTGTGTTATCGTCAGATTTCTGTTTACTAAACCCGTTCTTCTTTAAATCGGTTGTTTATGTAGTTCATGAATATTTTCTGTTCCTTCTAGAACTCCTTATTCTTTGTATTTCAACTTCACATTGAAAATGCCAGATATTTATTGAAGAAAACAACAGAACTTGTGTTTCCTGATTTGGGGCGAGTATCGTACCAATATGGCGTCGGAAAACTTGTCGCAGTTATAATGTTTCTCAAATAAAAAACCAAAATACAACTAACTTTTACGTTACCTGAAAACCGATAAAAGTACATTAAACCTTTGTTTATAAACAAACAAACTGCAAGCATTATATTGCGAAACGTTCTTTGCTGCAGGTTGCATGAAGATGTATGTTCTGCAATCATGATGTAGCCGGCTAGATGCATTGTTCATGGTTCAGTGAGAAGCAAAGATGATATGAGGTCATCTGTTTGAATAAGAAAATTATTCATTGGGACAAATTTATAAAACAACAGTGATATTTATGCCTCGAAGGCTAAACTACGAATTTACATCAGTTGCACAGATTAAGATCTTAAAAGCTGTGCTCGTAATCAAAAGTCTCACAGAGCTCCGTTTTCACTCTTCTCTGCACTTGCCTCTGTTAAATGGTTGAGACTTCAGCTGGCTTTGTGCGCAGTCAATTTTTACAGAAACAATTCTTTATTTAATGATTTATGAGCATACGGTAATTTAACGGACATCAATAACAGCGATTTTACTCTTTGTTTGACTGACCAATATCGTCTTGAAAACAATGGCTGCCGTTTTAATACATAGCGAAATTTTCTTGTCCAAAGTGAAGCCTGTAACTTAAAAAATGTTTCTACAAAAACATCTCCTCTCATACAAAAATTAGAGTTTCTGTCTTCGAACGGGCCATACACTTAATTTGCAAGCTGTTACAGATCTTTGAATCTGTAACATTTCTACGATCATGCCTGAACTTGGGGAAAGACTGTAATCATTGTCTAGCTATTCTCTTCACGCTGTTCGTAACTTATGATCAAAAGTTAGATAGATTCATGTTCGTGGATTTTCTTTGTTGCGGGTGCTGTTCGACTTTTTCCTAAACTGCCGTTTTGGTATTGTTCAAGATCTTTCGTTCATAAAATGTACTGTGAATTGGTTTTGCCGTTGAGTTGTGTTTTGTTGCGAGAGATTCGCATTTAAGCCTGCTTTGTTTTTTCTCTTAAAACAACTATATAGAGGTTATTTTAGCATTCTGTTGTTAAAAGAAGCATAAAACAAAGAAAATGCGACTTGTCAATGTCACCCCAACAAAGCGGCTGAAATTAGTTAAGCGAATGCAAAAAAAGATATAAATTTGTTGAGGCTCGTAGCTTGTCACTGTGGCTCTTTACTGAACTGAATGTAAAATTGTTGAAATAACAGTACATAATAATAACACCAAACTGACGAAGTGAGCAACACGAGGACTTGTTAGAAAGCGATTAACAGCTTTTTCACCGAACAAACAGCCTCACTTCTTAGGTGTGAAAAATGTCAAATTTGCTAAAGAGCTTTGCCCCCAACAGGAACACAGAAAGTCGTGTTCAACCTACTACTAAACTTGTACACAAAACGCTTTTATCTTTAAGAGAACAGTAAAGTAAGAACTTAACAATTGTGGGCAAGATTCCAATGAAGTCTTACGAGGAAAAGATCGTGAATTAAAACGAGAACGTTTAACGGGATCGTATAGTTTGCTCAATGGAAACAACCCCCAGGATATCTGTATATTTACTGTTCTCGATTTCCTTCGACAAACCACACTTCAATAAATTTGACTCTGTAATAATTTAAAGTGAAAGCGGAAGAATCTATCAGGGATTTTGAAAAGCAACGAACTTAAGTATTTCAAGGTAAGCATCGACAAATTGTTCCAAAATTTCAAACTTGACTACGCAGCGATCGAACTACCGAGTTTGGAATTATTGTGTTAAGTTTATACTGGAATTACTAATTCAAAATTGCTCACTTTATGGGTACCAATATCTTTCTTAAGAGACTGCACAGTTTTGAAAACCTAGTATTTTTTACTGCTATTACGTGAGCTTTAGACACTCCCTTCGTAGACAAGATGGCGGACAATTACACCGAGCTGGTTCTTGTTACTTTACGAAAATTGCTAGCGACATTTTCTTTAAACCACAATCATGTCGCACATTGTTATCTCTGCTAAAACAATTCCCTTTCAATCGAAAGCGAGTTAATTTAATTGACACCAAGTTAGCTCTGAGTGGAAATGATAAACTACGCTGTCCGAAAGAAGAATGTATATTTGATGGAAAACGTAAGAAAGCAAGGGAAGAGTCACGCCCAAAACGTATTCGACATAGGGCAAAACCAACCCACAACAAACGTACTGTAGTGCACAGAATACTCTGTATGGTGGAATTAGGTATAACGTTTATAACTACTTTTTTTTGTTTTAAAAAAAAATTACCTCTTTAAGTCGTTCTTCGTTTCATTGATCGAACAATAACCCCCTCCGTTGGGAATTTTAGCCTTCTCTTCGTGAGCAGAGCGTTTTGGTCTTACATCGCAGGAGAGAAATAAAATCATGTTGTTTCACCGCTTACCCAGAGGCAAAAGAACAACCCGTGTTGTTGACACGTCTAATCATGTATTTTATTTTCAAAGGTTTAACCTTAAAAGGGCGAGCTGAAGTACTTTGGAGTCAAAACCATATATTACCTACGTCGATCGCACGTCACATTCTTGCACCCAAAGACAATTCTATGCAAGAGGAAAAGCTAAAAGGGCAAGCTGTCAAAATCTTATTGAATTTCACAAATAAACTCTCTAGTACGTTCGCTTATAACGGATTTATAACTAAAGAACGGAAAGATTTGGGGGGGATTTTCTGTGGCAAAAATGGACATGTCTACCAGCATACGGCCATTTCGCGCGCCTGATTCTTACATAAGTCAATTTTGTTTCATAGAAGGTTATGCTTCAAATATACGTAAATTCTTGCATCCATGTATTCATTCTGAATACGCGTCCTTGTTTGTAGCTTTGACCACCTTAAGGTTTGAATCAGTCATTTTGTCTTGCTTTGAAATTGTTTTTTTGCTCCTTTTTTTTACATTTTTTTTCTTTAAATGTTAAGCTCTAAGTTGAAATAACGCCCTTAGAGAACCGTTTATTCTGTCAATATGGACTAACCTGATAAATGCTTCGAACTTGTTGAAAAATCTAAAACTCGATAAAACAAAGAAATCCCCCGCAAAACCGGCGGACAAACTTTAAAGATAGCATTTAAATGATAAATCATTGTGGTGGACAGCTAGCTAATACCGTAATTCTATAGCACCTATAGTAGTATTTTTTCGTGTTTACTTTTATAGCTTGTTTTTTTTTAAATATTTTTTTAAAATAAAATACGTCTAAGGTGCTTTTAAAAGGTGAAAATCCGATTCTCCTTTTCTTTGTATATGTCCAAGAATTTAAGAAGCATAGGCTTTTTGGACCATTTTGGGTGACTAGGAACTTAATGTTTCCAAGGGCTTTTGGGAAAGTTGATATATTTATTTTCCTGCCGTAAAGAGTTACGTGTGTCAGTTAGGCACGCTATCCAAAGCCGACAAGATTGATTTATGATTTAACTTGGAAAGTAGCCGATCTACAGCTGGGTTAAGACTTAAAGTCTGCTTTGAGCTTTTGCATTTCACATTACTCTCTTTTTCCTCGTACGAGAAACTGCGAGGCAAACGCACAAGCCCAATAGTTTGAAAAAAGACGTTCCATCTAAACTTTCCAACGCCTTATAACTTGTGGCATCTCGTGGACTGATCTCCATGAAAATTAAACTCTTTTTAATGGTACTTGAAATGACGTGAGAACAAGTGAGTTTTTGCTAAACAGGCAAGTCTTTTGTTCTTATTTCACACGTTATCTTTGGTTTAGTTACACAGTTGTCTTAGTAATTATCTCTATTTATACATGTGGTTAGCTTTTCTCCTCTTCTACACTAGCCTTTCGGCAAAACCCTTTAATTTGATTAGACTTTTAATTACTTTTTTTCATTTCCAGTAATTTAGAAGTTAAGCATTTTCTTTGTTGTTTCATGTGCTAAGAGATTTCTGTTCCAATTTGTGCCGAATTAATTATCTTTCATGGAGATTTTTGTGATCATCTGGTATGAATGACCATGTCGACTGTTTAGCCACTTAAATTACGGGGGAATTGCTACTTATTTTCAAGTAAAATCAACTTAAAAACGTAAATGAATAATACATTTTGTTTATTTTGTTTTCAATCGTACGCCTTCAGAGAATGAAGCTTAATTTCAGGGAAGCGTATTGAACTAATCGAATAATCGTTTCATGATTTTTCGATTCAGCACTGAGTTGCATGGTTCTGTAGCTCAGAAAGGAGCTAGTACGGCCTAGAATCTTTACGCTCATAGCGCTTCAATAATTTCAGCTCAATCACTACACTATCTATTCTTTCTAACGTTCGTACAAGTTGTCACAACACATTTTTCGGTATGGACCAATTGTGATGTGTATAATGTTCATACCGAAAGTACAAAAGCTGCGGAGACTTTAAAAAAGACCTTGTCATGATGTTAACTATCGGTAAAATGGCAGCCATCTGTGACTAAAAACTTGAAACTGTAGTTTATTGTGTTTATTATGAGTAAATTTTCGACTGGTAGATAATACATTTGCGATTCTTTGAATCCTCCCTCTCCGAGACTGCGTTATTTCTATAGCCCACTAAGGAGCTATTGTA